TGCACTGCTGCTCTGTTCTACTGGCTCTACGACCTCGTCCATTGTGACTGACGCCGCCAACGTTAACATGATGTTTACGTCGCTCTTAGTGTGCGTTTTTTGTGGGTTTCCGGCAATGAGTGGAATTACCGAAATTAAAAAATGTATAAATGTGTTTTTTTTGTGTGTGTGTTGTTGTCCCAACAACACATAAAAACAGGTTTTATAATAAAGAAACTCACATACAGAAACAGTAAAGTTAGAGATTAAAAATTAGATTAACGCGATTAAAAAACATAACGCGCTAAATATGACTGTAATTAATTAATTGCAATTCACGCCATAATTTGACACCCCTGATCATAATGTTTTCAATGATCTGTGCTCACCAAGCCCCCAGGTTCCAAAATGACCGCCTATTCAAGTCAATGGGCTGAGCTCAATGGCGCATGATCCCAGATTAACCTAGCATGGCTAGGTACTTCCGGTGGCTGTGGGCCGACCGAGCATGCGGAGTAGTGCTCTTTTCTCCCATGGGCACTCGCGAATGCACGTGACCACACGCACGGAGCGCGGGCTCGTGTATCACGTGATCGCTTTGACCAATCAGAGTGAGAGGAGCTAGAGCGGAGCCGGAACTAATGAAAATAAAGTGTTTTTTAAGACAATTGAAGGATTTTGAGCAAGAAAATGTTTATGGTCTAAAAATAGGTAAAAATCGCAATTAAATCTGATATTTTTTAAAGCTGTAGGTGCCCTGTCAGACGAACACGAGCAGTTTGTGATCACATTGCCTCTATGAGAAAAATCTTGTCTCGACCCATGGGACTTTTTCTGCTGAAGTTCCAGTGAGTGTCACTACGTCAACTGGAGGCAGCTACAAGCAGCAATACTGTATCCAGTTATTTTAATAGATCCATGGTGCTCACTGGCGCAAGAAAGAGTTTTACTTCCACATTACTTCCTGAATACTGTAGCCTGATTCATCAGAAAATCTGGTTCCACGAAGTGAAACCGGATTTGTTCGGCAGTAGGCGGGTAATGCACTGAAACGCTCAGTGGTGTCCAAATAATTGCTGGCACAACAGCAAACAAAGCAGATAGTGAACATGTCTGTCAACGATCATTGTCCTTTCTGGGAGCTGAACTTGCGAATTAAAGGTTCAATAAAAAATGCTAAGCTTGTATTTGACAAAGGAAGTCCAAAGGAGGGTAGTGTACTGTATGCAGTCTGCTATCGCAACTCGGGCTGGTTCAGCTCTTTGCTGATTGGTCGTGCACGGTCTACAACTTCCATGGTTCTTGCAAATCGTCTAGTGTATTCAGATTCCTGACCTAGTTGCAGGAGAGAAATGAAATCGAGAGGAGGCACTAGGTGGCGCCAGCCGGGCTATGAAAACTGGCCTTATACCGCAAAACATGTGACATCAGAAATGTGCAGTTCTGACCAATCAGAGTGCTAGTGCAGGCTCAGAGTTGGGGCTAGGCTAACTTTTAGGCGGTTTGATGATTTAAAAATGTTCATATTGTAAAAATACAAAGAATCCCTTCAAAATCCGACCTTTGTGAAAGCGGGATGACCTGTGAGCCAAACACAGGCAGTTTGATTTCACAAAAAATGCACTGCCCTCTATAGGAAAATTCTTTCTGGGCCGGAGTCCTGCTGATTTGAGCTCCCTATTGCTACTGCACCTGCGCACGCCCCCAAGTGCTGTTACAGTTTAAATGACCATCGATTTGAGCTCCCGAGGCACAGATGGGATAAATGTCCCTCATGTGTGTATATTTTTACAATATTTTTACATTTCTCCTGTTGTCTCTCTTTCCATCCGTCATGACTAAGACACAAGTCCATTGTTATTGGCGCTATATAAATAAAATTGAATTGCATGAAATTGTCCCGTCTTCAATGTCCTCAGTATCACAAAGGCGAGGAATGCTACTGTACCTCTAGTGATGCATTATTTGATAGAAGATATAGGCCTGTCGAAATGAGCTACCTCTACCCATATTCCTATAAAAGAGTTAATAATGGTGATTCTAAAGTGGAAGCATTATCTGATGGCTCAAGTGGGCTCTCAGAATGTGATATCTTTAGTGGGAGCCTTATTATTATTTTTTTAAAGGTAGCTTATTTAGATGGGGTAGCGTGAATCGATAGACGTCACTGCGGATTTAAGCTGCTGGGAGCTCGTTTCGATGGGGCAGACCTTTTCGTCAAAAAAACAGAGCTCCCGGAAGCTGCAGTACCTAAAGTGACCACTAGTCGACAGAGGGGGCGTGTCTTATTGAGTTCTTACTATAGATCCGTGATAATTATACTTCCACGACGTCCAAAGGTGAGAGATGGGTGGGATTCTAGAACGATATATGAAATTATGTAGCAAAGAAATAAAAGAGCTGAAGTTGGTGTGTCCAAACTTTTGACTGGTAATGTATTTCAAGGCTATTTCCTTTGAATAAAATGTGTTTTTTTTTATGTGTGGGCAGCATGTTGTCTCCGTGTCCTCAAGGCAAGACAAAAAAAACTGCGAAACAAAAGAACAATTCAACGTTATCTTCGGAAAAAAGAAGTGATGTTTGGGCAATTACAAGTACACCCATTTTTACTGCAACTCATTTTCTTCCGTTCTTATCTTCCTCGCTGCCATCCGTTGTATGTTCATCACTTTTTCTCTCCTCTTATCTCCATAACAGCTCGTAATAATGCCCACACAGGCCCCGGACTCGGCTCGCTTTTGTTTGTTGTAGCTGTAAAATAAGACTGTCAGTGTTTAGAGCACTTTAGGGCAGTTTTGTGTCCAGTGCAGCGCTGCAGACATCACTCCTGCCCATTTTAGAGCAGGCCGGGAGGGGAGCGCGCGCTATTGTTGACATATAAAAATAATTTATGACCCCCTGTTGTGCTCCACTGAGGGAGAAAATTCAATGAAGCTCGAGGCTGACCGGCCCGAGCACATCTTTGTAAGTCCGTGTGTGTGTTTTCCGGCTCTGTAGCTCTATTCAGTTCTCTATTTAGCTCCTGGATTTACTTATTTATACTTATTTATGGTTTATTTGTTAGGGATGTATACAGTTTCTGATTGATTAATTCAACACGACCACTGAGAAGGGCTTTCGTCATTTCAGATCTCACTAAATGAAACATGAATAGGTTGAAATTGAATTAATAATAAATACAGTGAAGATGTCAAAAGACCAGATTTAGCACAGAACTGCAGCGCACATGAACGACTCACCCTCTCTCCTGCCCCTTGAAAAAGAGACATTGCAGCTGAATAAAGTTTATACTGATCAGATTCAAACATTTTCTGTAGCTTGCTTTCAGACTTAAAGAAAAAAATGTTTAGCAAGTTTTGTGTGCAGAAATATCCAACATTTAATAAAGCCTTGTTTTCTGTTTCCACTGGTGCAGCTCCAGGGTTAAATTTTTGTTTATATTTGTTTTATTTATTTCATTCATAAAGTATAAAAAGTCATCAACAGTGTCACAACATCAAACATACAAGAAATGAATGAAAAGGAGCAGAAAGAAGAGTCATCTTTTGTTATAAGGTTTGTTCAGAGCGGAGAGTCAAGGCGTCCAGTTTATATGCAAAGTCTGTGTGGGCACATGTCTAGGACGTTCTGTGTTTTTGCGGTGCGTCTTCAGGCATCATCAGGTGTTGATGCAACGCGTCTTGAGCCCCCTGGACGTGCGTCTAGAGAGTTGACATCAGAAGTAAAAAATGCTGAACTTTTTGCGTCGAATGTGCCGCGTCAACCAATCAGGGACGACTATTCAGGCGAAGACGAGACGAAGCAACATTATTCTCCGGAAGAAGGAGAAGAGAAGGACCCAGGAACCAGGGCGGGGAGCTTCAAACATTAGCAGAGTATAAATATATACACACCGAAACCACCGAGCCGATCGCCAGGACTACACCAGGACCGGACCAGGACTAGACCAGGACTGAACCAGGACTGAACCAGGACCGGAGCAGGACCGGAGCAGGACTGAATCGGGACTAGACCAGGACTGGACCAGAGTCATTAGCGGATTATACATATATATAATAATAACAATAATGCATCAGTTTTATATAACACTTTTTTGGACACTCAAAGACGCTTTACAGAGCATTATTCATTCACTCCAGACCCGGTGGTGGTAAACTACTACTGTAGCCACAGCTGCCCTGGGACAGACTGACGGAAGCGAGGCCGCCAATCTGCGCCATTGGCCCCTCCGACCACCACCATCACTCACACACACCACTTTCATACTAGGCAATGTGTGTGAAGTGCCTTGCCTAAGGACACAGTGTCAGTTTTTACAACTGCTACCCCACTGTGGCACCTGATTTTCCCAGTGTCTCCCATCCAAGTACTGACCAGGCCCGGTCCTGCTGAGCTGCTGAGATCTGACGGGATCAGGCTTTGACAACCCGGTATGGCCACAATACGTCGCAGCCGCTGAGCCGAACTCCTCCGCTGATGGTTTTATGTAATAAATACACTAAAGTCACTCTCTCAGCCTGGTCTCTCATCGTTCCGGGAAAAGACCGGGACCGAGCCCTTGTTTCCAGGCATCAGTTTGCACAGACCTTTAGACTTAGACAAACTTTATTGATCTACAGGGGAAATTATTTGGACACAGCAGTACACATCACAATATAATATAATAATAACAAAGTAATAATAAATTCAAAATAAGCAGCAAAAAAGAATGCACGAGACAGGTGTCAAATAAAGCATAATTATATAAATGTAAATGTACAAGTTACAGGTCAGATTTGGTCAGAATGCCTGGTTTTCTAGATATTTTTGAGCTATAAAACCACCTGTAGTAAAATAAATGTAAGGTAAATCTGTTTAATGTCATACTTTGGAACATTCCAGGTAGAGCAATGACATATCCAGGTAAAAGACCCCCAACCAAACAGTTACATAGCACACTTTTTGCCAAAATATTGAGGTTTTGGGTCAGTGTGCCGTCTTAAAGTGTCTCGTCTAAGTAGGAAATACAATGTCAAACTTACAGTGTATTTTGAAGTCTTTATACTGCCTGTCTTCGATGGCCACCACATACAGAGAGGCACGGTCAGGAAACATCAATCCACCAGGTTTCTGTTTGACAAATGAAGCAAAGAGACGAGAAACAGCTCAGCAATTAATCCCCACAACATTAAAAGGTCTACAGTACAGCCCCGGTGACATTTCATTCCTCAGTTTGAATTATTGGCCTGTTATTTGCTGCCTCTGGGTACACAGCTCAGCGAACGGGCCCTGGTCACCGTCTGCTGCTTTTTGACTATAAATAAGATTTCAAAATGTTTCTGTGGATAAATAGTCAATGCCCAAATACAGAAATGCCAGAGAAAATCTGCGTTAGCACATGGCCTTCGCTCGCTCTGAAGTGTGGCGTTCTGTCTCACAATATTTTCAGAATTACGAAAATGTACAGATCAAATTATGACCATAGACAGTGGAAAGACGTGGACTAAAAGAGTGTGACGTGATCCACAGAGATTGAAGGTCAATTTTACATTTGATTAGCAGATAATTTATCTTTTAATCTTTTTGAACAGGTCGTGCAGGCTTTTATTTCGTCATGTCTGGACGACTGCGACGCGCTTTAATCATTCACATCAATCATGTGTCATTCGTTCATTCGTTTTTCAAGATAAAACCTAAAATAAGAAAATGAAAAAAAACAACTATTTTCTTCATTATTTGTCTCCAAAACCAAAATGAAAACATGGATAACGATTTGTTTTTTCAGTTTTCGATTTTGTGTTTAAATGAATAATGGAAAAAAAACAGATAACGACCGTCGTTTGACTTTAACTGTGATGTCGGACTGAGCCAGGACTGAACCAGGACTAAACCAGGACTAAACTGGTCTCAGTCCCGGTCTCAGTTTGGACTGGATAACGATTTGTTTTTTGTTTTTTTTCAGTTTTTGATTTTGTGTTCAAATAAAAAAAAAAAAAAACGGATAACAGTTTCCATGACTTAAACTGCAATGCCGGACTGAACCAGGGAACTGAAACCAAGGGACTGAACCGGGACTGAGACCGGGACCAGACCAAGATTGAGACCGGGAACAGGACCAGGACTGAGACAAGGACCAAGACCGGGAACAAGATCAGAACTGAGACCGGGACTGAGACCAGGACCAGACCAGGACGGAGACCAGGAACAGGACCAGGACTGAGACCAGGACCAGACCGGGAACAAGATCAGAACTGAGACCGGGACTGAGACTGGGACCAGACCAGGACTCGGACCAGTTTAGTCCTGGTTTAGTCCTGGTTCAGTCCAGCATTGCAGTTTAATGTCACGTAAAATGGTCGTTATCCGTTTTTCCATTCTTCATTTAAACACAAGATCAAAAACTGAAAAAACTAATCGTTATCTGTTTTTTCATTTTGGTTTTGGAAAATAATGAAGAAAATAGTTGTTTTTTTCGTTTTCTTATTTTTGGTTTTATATTGAAAATCGAATGAGCGAATGATACATGGATTCACTTTACACGAGCGTCTCTCAAAACGCACTTTCCCGTCTGCAGTTAGTTCAGAACTCCACGACACGACTTTTAACAAGAACCAAAAAAATGAGAACATATCACACCAGTTCTTGATTCTTCCTGTTCGATTTAAATTTGATTTTAAGATTTTATTGTTTGTTTTTAAAGCTTTGAATGGACTGGTCCCATGTTATATCTCAGACCTCATCCAGATTTACTCCCCTGCTCACTCTGAGGTCTAAGGTCCAGCTCCAGCTCGTGGGACCTAAGACCAGACTTAAAACCAGTAGGACCAGGCCTTCTCTATGGCCGGTCCCAAACTCTGGAAGGCTTTGCCCCGCCACGTCCCAACAGCCCCACAGCGGAGAGTTTTAATTCTCGTCTTAAGACCCACTTTTACTCTCTGCCTTTTAACACTTAATGAGTCGTGTGGTCCTCTGTGTCTTTTATTTACTATTTTTATTTATGATTTACTGTCTTTTATTGTACTAATTTGTCTGTGTAGCACTTTGGAAACTGTCATGTTTATAAAATGTGCTAAATAAATAAAGTGGATTGGATGGAGCAGTTATAGCAGCGAATTTGGAGTCGAGTTCCATATTTGGAATTCCTCCCCGCCCCGCCGGTTTATCAGGGAGCGGGGGCTTTGCAGCGCTGTCAATCAAACCTGTTGTTAACGCTTGCGAGAATGACCTTGGGGAAAGAAGGCGCCTGATTTGTCTGTTGTTAATGTTCATATTTTGTTCTGCAGGCAAAATAGTGAAATAAAAACACCAGGGTCATGTAGAGCAGGTTAATACAAACATTTTAAGACCAAAACGACGAGACGCAAAGCAGCAGTTACAGAGAGAGGGGCGACTGTTTTTCAATTTAAAGTGAATTTAAGCTAGAGTTGATGGAGCCAGAAGTGCACCCATGCCCACTTCCTAAGTTAGCCATGTCCAGTTATATATACATCTCTAGGATTGTCCTTGTCATTCCCCAATATGAGTCACTTGCCGAATTTGCGTCCATGTTAGGCCATTGGCTTGACGACATTTTAATTATTTTACTCTAGAAATTGCTACCAATTTCATATTTCAGTTGAAACCTTAGTTCGCTTTCATTGAAGTTAAATAGAGTTTGCAAAGAAAGTTTCATAATGTTTAATTTTTTATTAAAAACGCCATATTGCTGTATTAACAACACACATTAAATCTTACACTCAGATCAGTTGGCCTTGATGTTTCTGTGCACTAATCTGTTTGCTCGAGCGTTTTATTAGTTAAATGTGCGGTTAAAAACACAAACGTTTGGGCTTATATTTAACTTCAAATAAACATTTAACGTCAAAATAACAACATAGCTGATTGCATATATGTAGTTCGTCTGTGTTTGTGTTGCCATATGTAGTAAGCCATACATGTTTGTGCAGCATCTGGGCATGTGCAGAACGAATTTTCATGCAAATTCAGCTCCCTGTGTGAAGTTGGCTACCCATATAACACAAACTTACACACACACACAAAACCCAAAACAACTATGTCAATCATTTGCTTCGTTTGTGCCACCTTGTGCTGCAAAATGTTTTGTTTGTGCTGCTTTGGGGTCAGCCATTTTGTCACATTATTTCCGCAAAAATAATAATTAATAATTTTAGAAATATACTAGCACAAATGAAAATAGTCACAGCACATATGAAATACAAACATTTTGTATAATTTTCTGCCTATTTTGAGCCTATTTAACATTTTGAGGGGCTGGATGATTAACCAGGCTGGCGCCACCTAGTGCCTCCACTCAATTGAATTTCTCTCCAGCGACTAGATCAAGAATCGGAATACACTAGACGGTTTGCAAGAGTTCTGGACGTTCTAATCCACACACTGGCCAATCTGCAAAGAGTGAAGCCAAGACTGGGTCCCTTTTGTGGAACAGCACAACAGTAAACAAAGCGTCGAGATGGATGTAGATGAAGACAGACATTCTGTGTTGGCAACGATTCCCGAGATCGAGGATTTAAAGCCGGAACGAAGAGAATGTTTGGTGAATTTTATCAAGGGGAAAGATGTTATTGTCCTTCTTCCTACAGAATTTGGCGCATTACATACGTCACGACCAAATAGCAGCGATTGGTTAAATAAAAAAAGTACCCGTCTACCGTCGAGCGAGTGAATCCTAATGCTGCGAGGTCACACGGTTTCCACAAAGTGAAACCGGCTGATGAATCAGGCTACTGGATGACGTCATCGGCCAAAAGTAAAACTGCTAATATCTAAAGAACCAGAACCGCACGAATTAAACTTTTTGCAGCACAAATGAACCATAAATGACTGTCTCGATTTTGGGCAGTTTTAGAGCATTTTGAAGCTTCCTGGGGACTGGTTTACTCCGATTTGATTTTTGAAAGAATTGTTGACATCTCCAAAACTAAAACAGCACAATCGAAACTTTTTGCGGCACAAATGGAAGCACAAACCATTGACGTAGTTCTTGTGTAGGTGTGTGTTTGATGGGGGCCAACTTCACGGAGGTAATTCAGCTCTGACTCAAATTGGGCAATGACAGAATCACCAAACGCAGCACAAACTCTGAACATGTTACCCACCTGCTGCCCCAGTGGCTTTAGAGTCTGGGTCAAATGCAGTAGACATTTTCAAGGACTACACCTTATTATTTTTCCAGACATTTCCATATGGCTTATTTCATTGTTGCGTTGTTTTTAAAAGGACAAACAAAAGGCAGAGTGATGCGGAGCTCAAGTTAAAATAAACAAGATTATGCTGGGATCTAGTGTACATTTCTACAGGCTTATGCGCTCAAAGGGGTCATAAAAGTTGCAGGCCTGCATTTTCAATAACCGTAAACCAAAGCATCATCTGCATTTTAATGTTTCAACGGGAAATTAAACCGTATAACTTTATTAGACTGTCCCGACTGTCAGGCAAACGACTGAATTTTCCGCCTACCAGCCACTTGTCGCGAGCAAAGATGACGGTGTTGAGCATGGACTCGTAGAAGAGGCAGTAGCCCATCCACTCGGAGATGATGATGTCCACCTTCTCCACGGGAAGCTCCACCTCCTCCACCTTTCCTCTGAAGATGGTGATAACTGAAACGCAGAAAACATTACACCACAGAATTTTACTAGTGTCACTTGATAAAAATGTATGTATCATAGACTGTATATATCAGGGGTCACCAAACTTTTTTCTCTGGAGGCCACATTATCGCTCTTGATTATATTCTGTGAAAACCGCCGCACTTTCTTTACATATCGGACAAACTGCACGGTCCTTACACTGAACAAGAAAATAATCGGTCATCCACTGTTCTTTGAAAACTCGGCCCTCTCTGGTAACTTTAAGTACTTTAAGCCGTCCTTAATTGCACTACAGAACTCTGTGTGTGGGATTGTCACTGTTTGATGTCGAGGTTTTCGGAGGCAAATGTAAATATGTCATATACTGTATTTTGCGGACTATAAGTCACGCTTTTTTTCATGGTTTGGCTGGTCTTGTGACTTCTATATTAAATTTTTTTGACTGGCAGCCACGAGAGGCTCTAGGCTTGTGTGTCAGTTTTCTGCACACGTCTTCTGCAGAAAAGCTGCTGTCCTAGTAGTGAAAGTAGTGAAATATGCAGCAGAAGACGATAATCGAGCAGCAGAAAGAAAGTTTGGAGTGAGCGAGAAACTTGTGAGGGACTGGTAGAAAGCAGGAATGGAGAACACAGCTTCACGGGAACCGGGAGGGTCACTGGATTGATCGACAAAGCCTGGACTTGCTCAGAAGTGACACCGAGGATGAAGAATTCAATGGATTCAATGGATTTAGTGATGTGGAGTGAGATGGAGAGTTTAGTAAACTTATGTTATGTTGTTTATGCTCTAGTTATCTGAAAAACTGTTCATATGTTACGTTACGAAATGTCGGTTCCTGGTCTCTGATTTTATAAAATACATTTCCCCCAAAAAGTGCGACTCATAGTCCAGTGTAACTTAAATGTTTTTTTCTTTTTCATTACAAATTTTTTGAATGGTGTGACTTATACTCTCGAGCCACTTATAGTCTGAAAAATATGGTAATTATTTAAATATATTTTTTTTTTTTTTTTGAAAAAAATGAACAGAATACAAGATGCAGACATGTTATTATTTACCAGAAAGTAATAAAAAAAAAAAATAGGCCATGAACTTTTGAGGATTGCCTCATAGGGTCAGATAAAGTGTGGGGGTAGAGGGGCTGGGGGGACGGTCAAAGGGGCATGGGGGGCCAGAGTCAGCCCACGGGCCTTAGTTTTATGATCCCTGGTATATATAAATGGACAATGTCCAAAATAGGAAATAAGCATGGAGCCTAAGTGTTTCCTTCTAGCTCTGGTTGTAATTCACTTCCTACTGAAAAAATATATGTATCTCTTTATATGATCCTGTTCTTTTTATTTCACAATTTTCTATATTTAGTTTCCAAATTAAGGTATGAATATTAATAACAGACCAATCTGGCGCTAATTTCCCTCAGGTCCTGGTTGTGTTATCTCTCTCTTTCTCTTTTCTGTTGCATGTTGGTAGTCGATAAATCCAAGTCAGTTCTCCCGACATCCATTGTAATTGTGTTCCACTGCAACAGTTGGGGAAAATATGGATGGACCCCTGAGAAAGTTTAACGTCCAACTGAGTTTGTGTTTCAGAACCCTGATTTGATTGGCTGTTCCATTGCACTTTCTCGAGGTGGAGGTCGATTTTCCCCGAGTCCCAAGCACAATAGAATGCTCCATTAGTAACAGATTGAGAGCCTCATTGTTAAACGCCCGCTCCTGCTAAACCTGCGGTGTGAGTAGGTGGGGGTGTGCACCTTCAACAGCCTCACTCCCAATTCTCTCTTTGGTTTCACACTTGGATTTCCAAATATGGTTTTTGGTTGCAGATCAGCTGCTATAACTGTGGGCCTCACGCGTTCATTTGGATCCACTTCTTTATACAGTCAGTATTTGTTTATATAACTTGAATCTGGTGTAATATGTTTTATTTTTACATATATGGGGCAACAGTAGCTCAGTTGGTAGAGCGTTTGGTTGGCAGCTCGAATTCTACTCTCGACATATCTCTCAATCATTCATTAATTGAGCAATATCATTGGTTGAGCAAAACACCAAAATCACTTTTTTCTACTGATTATTTGTGTAAATGGGTCTAAAATAGAAGTAGGTCTGGTCAAGCGGTAACAGAGGGAAACAGGGGCAGATTCTTTACATTCAAATGTCTCTTATTCATAAACTAGAGGGACTATTGAAATAAGTAAAGTATCAGAATGTAGGAAAGAGTTACACTCCAACAGGGTAAAGTTAAACCTGTGATATTCTTTCAAGTTGTTGACAAAAAATTTAAAAACTCATGTCGGTAACGGAGGGAATGAAATATGCAGCACTTTTTGGGCAATAAATACAAACAGTGATAACTCTTGGTTCTCACTTACATATCCTTAACAAACTGGTTTGAATATTTGCTTCATATAGTTTTCTACCATATGGTACAAGATTAGGTTGAAAAACCTCTTACTTTTTGAGTAATGAGATTTTTTATTAAGAAAGGTCATGGTAACGGAGGGAAAATTGTACAAGCAAGTAGAAGGTGCATAATTTTACATAATTTGTCAGCTTTTTTCTTCCAAATACTTTAATATTACTTCAAAATGAAAGGAAACTATTTCTATAAAATATGTCAGTCTTTCCAAGCATATCATTCTAAATAAATTTTTTTGAAAAATCATGTACCTTCATCAACAGTTCAAAGATGGAATAACACAAGATATGATGAAATACATCCATTTATTGACATGATTTGCAGGTCTTTGAAATTTGGGAAATAATTTTTGTTCCATGTTTCATACATGGTCTGTTTAAAACATATGGAACTTTAGAACCAAAAATGGTACAGAAAAAAGGTAAACAGTTTCATAAACTAGAGTACATATTCTATCTGCTGAATACAATTTTATATCAGATGCATTAACTTGAATTTTTGGCCTTGCTGTTTACTTCTGCTTGACCGGGTCCAAGTGTATACATATCCCTGGCCTTATTTTGGCATTTTAGTGATATTTGTTAAAAATCAGACTAATGGGTCAAAGTCGTGTCTGTAACGGCCTCTTTAGGATCAACTACGGCCCGAACATTTGAATTTTTGGGTTGGATTAACGGCCGTCAATGAGTCACATGCAAGTTATGCGGAACGTGTGAGGAGCCCTCTCAGCCCCGCCCCTACCTGGCACTGCTGGGCACCGCGATACCCCGCAAAAGTTCGTGCTCTTTCAAAGTCTGGAGCACAACAGTCTGCACCGTGTTGGATTGTTGTGATTTTCGGTCGTCTGTCAATCATTGCTCCAGAGCTCGCCCCAAACCTGCTCCCCCCAACTCACTGAGTACCGCCCACTCTGGAGGATTTTTCAGATTTTGCTTAGGGGCAGAGTAAAGCTTCGGGAGGGTGTTTAATGGCTCTTTAACCCACTTCGCCCCTGGTGTCTACATTCATACTCTGGTGTGTGCATGTGCGTGTGAACGGGTGAGTGCTCCCTTGATGTAAAGTGCTTTAAGTGCCTTGAAGGTGGAAAAGCGTTATATAAAAATGTGACCATTCATATATTTATTAGTTTATGGCCCTCACAAACTCTTTGGCACAGTTGCGTGTTGTGTTCAGGGATTTCCGGGAGCAAGAACAACCCGTACTCAGCCCAAAGCTCCTTATAATGTTCTTTTTTTTTTTACTGTGTTTGCAATATTTAAAATGTTTTAGATGCAGGCGGCGTAGAGCAGTGTACTCCATCAGTCTGATAGCCCGGCTTTAATAATGCCAGTGAAAGATTCTAATACTAAATTTAGAATATTAAAATTCATTCAGTTCCATCCTTGGTCAAAATAATGAAATTTGCCAGTCATCTCTCCACTCCATGACATCCATATTGTCTCTGCATACTGACTGCAGTGTCATTTGTCAGAGGGGACCGCCAGTTTATCTAGTTCAGTATGTGTTGCCATGGCAGCCCTCGCTTTCTTATGGAAATCGCTCCATCTGTGGTCTACAATACGGAGCAGGTCTTTGCCCCGACCGCCTGGCATTATATCACTCCTCTCGAATCGAGTTTGTAAAGTCGTTATGAAACTTTCCCAAACCGCTGAGTGCCAGAGTGACTTGTGACCCCATATTCCCACTTGGCACCGCGTATACGTCCCGAAGTTAGTGAAATGTTACCACTACTTCCAATTACAAGCGCTTACTTTATATTCATAGGTCCATATGGCGGGGACATTGGCTGACAGTGCAGTCTGCGGGCCTATTATTTTTTGTGAATGCACAGCTAGTGGCCTGGCAGCGGAGTTGTTTATAATGTTGCAATAAAACATATGCGCAGGAGGCAGTGACATTTCTACGCTGAATATATATGAGCGTGCCGAGAGAGTGCCCATCACCACCAGGAGTAACCACCCTGAGATCTAAACTGACCTTGGCCACTCTACAGTTCAGACTTAGCGTTCATTCCAGGCCATCTGTATACATAAATGGGCAGAACTGAGCATGGGTGCACTTCTGGCTCCATCGACTCTGGCTCTAATTCATTTTCTATTGCAAAAACATTGTCGTTCTCTGTAACTGCTGCTGTCAGACTCTTCAGTTTGGTCTTAAAATGTTCGTGTTAACTCACTCTGCATGATCCTTGGGTATTTATTTCATTATTTTGTCTACAAATCATGATACAAATATTAATATCTGGCGAATTGTGCACTTTTTCTTTTTGCTGACGTCACTCTCTGTAGCGTGAGAAACAGGTTTGATTCAGAGTCTTGCACCGGGTCAGTGCTTTAGTGTATTTATTACACCAGCTGCGCTCCTGGTTTAGTCCTGGTTTAAACCTGGTTTAGACCTGGTCCAGTACCGGTTTAGTCCTGGTTTAGTACTGGTTCAGTCTTGGTTTAATCCAGGTTTAGTACTGGTTCAGTCCGGGTTCAGTCCTGGTGTAGTCCTGGTCCAGTACTGGTATAGGCCTGGTCCAGTCCTGGTGATTGGCTTGGGGTTCAGTCCTGGTTCAGTCCAGGTTCAGTCCTGGTGTAGTCGTGGTCCAGTACTGGTGTAGTCCTAGTTTAGTGCTGGTTCAGTCTTGGTGTAGTCCTGGTTCAGTCCTGGTGTAGGCCTGGTCCAGTACTGGTGTAGTCCTGGTCCAGTACTGGTGTAGTCCTGGTCCAGTACTGGTGTAGTCCTGGTTCAGTCCTGGTCCAGTCCTGGTGTAGTCTTGGTCCAGTCCTGGTGTAGTCCTGGTTCAGTCCTGGTGTAGTCTTGGTCCCGTCCTGATGTAGTCCTGGTTCAGTCCTGGTTCAGTCCTGGTGTAGTCTTGGTCCAGTCCTGGTGTAGTCTTGGTCCAGTCCTGGTGTAGGCCTGGTTCAGTCCTGGTCCAGTCCTGGTGTAGTCTTGGTCCAGTCCTGGTGTAGTCTGGATCCAGTCCTGGTGTAGGCCTGGTTCAGTCCTGGTTCAGTCCTGGTGTAGTCTTGGTCCCGTCCTGATGTAGTCCTGGTTCAGTCCTGGTTCAGTCCTGGTGTAGTCTTGGTCCAGTCCTGGTGTAGTCTTGGTCCAGTCCTGGTGTAGGCCTGGTTCAGTCCTGGTCCAGTCCTGGTATAGTCTTGGTCCCTTCCTGATGTAGTCCTGGTTCAGTCCTGGTTCAGTCCTGGTGTAGTCTTGGTCCAGTCCTGGTGTAGTCCTGGTTCAATCCTGGTTCAGCCCTGGTCCAGTACTGGTGTAGTCCTGGTTTAGTGCTGGTTCAGTCTTGGTGTAGTCCTGGTTCGGTCCCAGTGTAGTCTTGGTCCAGTACTGGTGTAGTCCTGGTTCAGTCCTGGTGTAGTCCTTGTGTAGTCCTGGTAATCGGCTTGGCGGTTTGCGGCATGTGTATATTTATAATCCGCCAATGACACAGCGTAGGTTTAGTCCTGGTTTAGTCTTGGACTGTTGGGCTATTGGACTAATGGGCTGACCCCGATTTATCATGAGCACGGGCGAGTATCAGGTGGAAATGTTAACGGGTCCAGGCGGGTGTGGAATTAACTTTGATATAATCACGGGTTAACAGGCGGGTGTGGTGCTGTACTGCGCTGGTGTGGGTCTCCAAAAATGGACCCGTGCAGGACTCTGGTTTGATTGACAGCGTTGTTAGGTCTTGCTTCTTGTTGAACCAGCAGTGCAGACATGAAGAAGAAGCATTATCTTCAACAGCCTCACTTTGATTCACTCTTTGGATTCTATGATACTTGTGGCCATATTTCCAAATATAGAACGCTCCAAATTTTCTCGTATAACTGCAAGTCTCGATGAGCTTCATTTGACTGGACCTAAGCTCTGTGGGTGATGTCATGATCACTTAAGGCTCATTTATACTCCACTTTTATACGTAAATACTTCTTTGTGCGTTCCAAGCGTAGTAACCATCACTGCATTTACACTTCCAAATATTTCTAATTTTAAGGCTGTGTTCTCTTAAACAACCACCAGAGGGAGCTACAAGTGGAAACAGAGCAACAAAATAACATAGAAAGCAATTTTTAACTCATATTTGTTGGAAATGAGCCAAGAAAATTAGGTGAGGGAAGCATTTATATGTTTTGCAGATGGTTCTAGTCACGTTTTAAAAAGTTTAGCTTCAACTATTGAGCTGTGTTCACTACTGCCCCCAGTGGTCGGCTCATGTACCGCTTCATCACTAAGATTCTGCATGTTCTGAGGAGATAGACCGCAAGCCTCTGTGGCTGCGTCTCATTTCTCTTTCCTTGATTCCTCTTCTTGATTCTGCAGGGAACGGGTGAGGAATTCCCACCCACAAAGGAGAAACAGGAAACTCCTCACTGAAACCAATAAAGTTTGATTCATTTCTCTGACATCTGCCTCCTGAAGTCTCCTCATGTTTACCCTTTCCTTCTGTGGTTTTCTTTAGGACACTGCTTAACACGACACATTTGATTGACAGCTGAAAAATGGAAAATCGAGGAGAGGAATCAAGGAGAAGGAAGCGAGGAATGAGAAATATCCGTATGCCTATAGAATGTAGAGTGTAAATTAGCCTTCAGCCCACTTCTTTATACAGTCTATGGTCCGTGCCCATTAGTGCAAAGCCATCAGTGGACCTCTCACCGCTGTCGAGGTGGTTGGACTTGATGATCCTCTCCGAGTATTCCGAGATACTGGAACATTCAATCTGGCAAAAGAGAAAAGAGGAGTGACTGAGCCAAGTTAATGGACTGGGATCCTTACGGGAATATTATCGGTGATGGGAAGTGCGCTGTACTTTTGACTCAAAGCGCAGCACTACCCGGAATCACTTTCATTTGTGTGAACCTGTTATGAGGAGGGCACAGAGGAAAATGAAATGACTGTGAGAGTTTGAATTTGCAGGAGCATCACGGGCTTGGCAGGTATTCTCTGGAGGAACTTGAAATGGGAAATACAGTGTAAGTGGCGAAATGATAAAATGGCTTTATGTAAGAGCAAATTCTCAAAGACTTATCTAAAACTTGAATTAAATTAAAATATGCAGCGTAGTATTGAAATGGGAATGTGGAGCTCACTAGGAATTATAATTATGTTTTTAAAGGGCCCATATTACGCTGTTTTCTGTTCTGTTGTAACGTTTAGTTCTTTTCTTACACAAAAAAACTAAATTCACCACTTTGCATACACCTTCACGAGAACTCATTTAGGTGATTTCAGCTCTGGAACTGCCGATCTCTACTGAGCTAAAGGTAAAATGCTGCTGTTAAATACCACTTCATGACATAACAAGATAGAACAGAGCATTTTGACCTTTGGAAATGTAGACAGATTAATAATGTAAGAGTTACTCAAATGTGTGAATGAAACAAAACACAACTCCAGGTCTGTTTTTGATGAGGTAATAAGATTATAACATGACTTCAAGCTCCCAAGAGTCAATTTTGCGTAATAAAGGACTTTTAATATAATGCTTATAATGCACTTTTTGTCAAAGGCTGTCTAAGTATTATACAGTACTCTGCATTATGGCCTGATCGATATATCGTTTGGCTGATATTGCTGGTCGAAATGTGCACTTGGAGACTCGGCTATGGGCCTAAATCTTGCTGATATGGATCGATAGTCCACCTGGGCATGTTATACCTCGTTATCAAGGGTGTAGGTTTGGTCTCAGCTTTGGTGGGGACATTATCAGCTGAGCCCGGCGACTCATTATAAGGCAAGTTTAAAAGAAGATGAAGCCAAGTAAGCTCCTTTTGAAAAGTGTTTCAAAGTTTAGTGCGCAGCGTCTTCACTCACGCCTGCTCAAGCCGACATCTTCGGGTACTGGCCTGTCCTGCATGGGTAGCGGCATATAACCTATATAACCCTGTCGTCATATCACTGAATACATCTCAGAAAGTCTAATAGACAAAATGTAAACTAATTAATTAATGTTCAATTAATACTACTGAGTTTGGAAAAATATTGGAATGAATTTAGATTTTAGTTTCTTAAAATAAAATGGCAAATATTGGTAGGGACTATTTTGTCTTCCCCAAATATTGGTTGTGACATGCCCCCACCGTTCCTAAACCTACAACCTTGTGCGTTATAAATCTTAGACTCTATATTATGTCCATTTAATCCAATTTACAGGCAGACAAATGTCCTAATATGTGGTGTGGCATCAGTATTTATCAGAGGAGTAATTTGCTTGTGACGCCGTACTGTCCCTGAACGCCCCCCCAGAGTCACGTCACATGACACACATGCGCTTGTTTACACCAGTGGATTCTGTGGCTGCACTGCACTGCAATGTAAATGAGCTGTGAATAGAAGTGTGAATGCATTTGTCTGCATTTACGCATATCATTAATTATCACGGCACGTGCGCATTTACACTAAAGGCCAATAGCAATAGTTTTTACTTTATTTACATTTCTCTCCAGTGACTACATCAGAAATTAGAATACACTAGACAGTTTGCAAGAGCCCCGGAAGTTGTAGACTGCGCACTGGCCAATCAAACTGTGAAGCCCTGTCTGAGTCCCTTTTGTGGAACAGCACAACGGTAAACAAAGCGTCGAGATGGATTGTAGAGGAAGACAGACATTCTGTGTTGGCAACGATTCCCGAGATCGAGGATTTAAAGCCAGAACAAAGAGAATGTTCGGTGAATTTTATCAAGGGGAAAGACGTTATTGCCCTTCTTCCTACAGGATTTGGGAAAAGCTTAATATACCAGTTAGCCCCGTTAGCGGCACTTTACATACGTCACAACCAAATAGCAGCGATTGGTTAAATAAAAAAAAGTACCCACCTACTGTCAAGCGAATGAATCCTAATGATGCTAGATCAGACGGTTTCCACGAAATGAAACCGGCTGATAAATCAGACTAATTAGAGCGACCTGCTGTCTTAAAATGTGACTAGAAAAAGGGCAAAATAACAGTAATTGCCACCTAAACAAACCCAACTTAAAATCTAATGGAGTGAAGCCTAAGTTTTATAATCAGTTGAAGATTCACAGTGACCTTTGACATCACTGAATATATCGGCAGCTCCAAACCCTGTCAGATTGGTATCATATCGAATCCAAAAAAATCCATATCGGTCGGGCCCTATTCCGTATTATTGTTGCTAGTCCGTACTTAGTGGTGGTAAGCTACTATATTATAGTCACAGTTGCCCTGGGGCAAACTGAAAGAAGTGAGGCTGCCACTCTGCACCATCAGCCCCTCTATGAAATATGAGATAATGCTATGGATATGAAATAAGTTGTTTGTGGAGTCGACGACAGGAGAGCTACGGCTACAGAAGAAGTGTGGAGTGAATAATTATGCAGTGTTTTGAGTTATTGTGAATGTAGTAATGTAGAAATGTTCCTGCAATTCCTAAATGGGACAATGCAGTGATGCCCCCGTTCCCCTCGTCACACTTTTTAAGATAGGTCAGCTCTGTAAATTTTCCAAAGCGCTCTATTTTCTTTCATAATGCCCCATTGTGGAGCCGCACTGTCCTCATTTCATCTGAGCACATCGTTTTATCTTAATCTGAGCCTCTGCGTTTGACACTTTTCACTCTTTCACCCCGGCCCACCTTCACCTCCTGCCGATTCATCATCACATCAGAGCGGAAAGAGTTACAACAAAATAAAGCGTTTTTCCATCCATCATTCAGCTCAGTCAACCAAACACGACATCACTCAGGTGTAGTTGTACAAGATTTTCCTTTAAAGAAGATTTACTGTGCTTGTGTTTGCTTTACAGTTATAATCTATGACTCCTGTGCATCATTATTTTATAATTTGGACATTTTAAATCCCAATCTTCATCTAAAACAACTTAATAAAAGAAACACGTCCGCTGATTTCTGCATCAAAAAGCTGCAGTGCCCCACAGGAGATGACATCGTGTGCAAAAATATCAAAATAACAATATATCGTATCATTTAATGTGATGATACAGTATCGATATCATGGGCTGCTGTATTGATATATAGCCAAGAGTATTTTTTTGTATATTTTACTAAATTATTTTGTTACAGAGCTACAGTTTTGTTTCTTGTTCAGTGGAAGGAAATTTGTTTACTTTTTTGATGATTAAAATGGGTGTGTTTTATATTCACTTTGCACAAGAAGTGGTTTAATAAAGACTTTTAGGCTACGTTTATACGATGACGGTCTGAACAGAAGACGCAAAAATGATGTTGTGTCTTCACTTTTTATTCCGCGTTTAGACAAGCGCTTTCGGGAGGAAATCTGCGTGCATACAGTGATGCAAAAGTGTGTGGAATTCGATTGGGTATGCATGTACTTAAAGCAACAAGGGCGTCTTTGGACATACAGAAGTTTTCACACCACGCATTTTCATCAGCTCCTCCTTCCATAAAGTCGTCCCACCATCAACTCTTACATCCTGAATTTGACAGAGGTAATTGCAGATCCTTCTCTGTTCACTAATAGTATCTTTGCATATTCTGTACATTTGTTGGGAGCCTCTTGTAAGTTTATTAAACCTTGAAGGCCCGATGCACGGAAATTATCCGACATGTTTGTTTCCGTGTACTGCATGTACGCAACGTGAGCAGATCTGACCAGAGTTTTGCGTCAACTTTTCCACGCTGGAGGGTCATTTCAGATTTTTGCATTTTAAAGCCCCAAAAACACCGTCACCGTCTAAACGAAAGGCACTTCTGATAAAATATTTAGTTGTTTTTACCTGCAAGCGTTATTAGTGTCACAGCCGTGATTGAGACATTATTTTTTATTGAATAGTATGAAATCGATTTGAAGTATATCGTATCAAACTGAAAGTGTGCTGTATCGAGATATGTATCATATTGTGGCCTGTGTATCATATGGGCAACTTCTTAATGATACCCAGCCCTACCATAAACGTCATCACAACAAAGAGCTGTGAAGTTGTCTGCACCTCCTACGGATAGCTGCACATTACACTAGTAAAACGGAGATTTTTTTGTTCATTTGTACCAAAATGACTATGCAACGATGCAGAATCCCACTCGTATCACCGATGAAGAAAATAAAATATGATAGCAAAGTAAGATACAGAGCTTTAAGCTGCACATTTACTTATTGTCCTGACATGGACTTTCCATTTATTATTATTTATGTATACGCTTGGGAGTGAGATACACAGTTTCGATTCTTCAGATGTTCTCTTTTTTGAACTTTGAAGTTTTTTTTTTTACTTTAATGTAAATGGTTCATATGGTCTAATGTAAAATGTCTGAAGAATGCAAAAGAAAGCTCATTATGTTAGATTAGAAGAAGAGAGTGGGCATAAATCTGGTTTTCTTTCCAATCCATTTTGGGCAATTTTTGTTGTTTTGTTTCTGTTTGTATGATTGCACTGATATCATGGATGATACTTGGTTCTATTGTAAAATAACGGAAGATGTAGTGTTGTTCGATACCATTTTTGGGGGGATCCGATCTGATACTTGGCCGTGGTGTACTTGCTGATGCCGATACCAGTCCGATATAATATTGTGAAGAAGTAAGAAAAGTAAGAAGTAAGAAAATAAATCTTCTAAAAGGCTATTTTTAGAAAAAATGCAAGAATAAAGAAAATATTGAAAACTAAAATAGCGATCTGTATAATGATCTTGACGATAAGTAATGCTGATTTAATCTGATTTAAGCTGCTTTGTGTTTTAGCGGCAGCATTAGTCACCGAGGTAAACAGCAGCAGCTCATGC